CCTTAAAGTTTATTTTATAAAAAAGTCATTTATTCTTAATTTTAATAATATTCCATTATTATAGATTCTCATGGACATGGATATATATTTTTCAAAATAATTAAAAAAAGTAAATTGTATTCAATCCACAATTAATATAGTATCAAAGAATATAGGTGCTCATATATAAGCGTCTATATTCTTCGATAGTATATAAGCATGCTTCACATATATATAAAAGAAAGAATCCACTTCTAATTTAATTAAGTAGTAGTGTTATTCTACTACATATATTTAGTTGCAATATATTTTACAATTTCTATCTCTGCAGTTATCTACCACATTTTGTAAACATTGAATGAAATAAATACTCATTAAAAGTGCAAAAGTATGTTAATATACATAGATTAATATATTTACAATCAATGTTGCTTTCCTAGTTCATTTTAACTAGTCAGGAGAATGAATTTGAATGTAGCATTCTTAGTGACATCATTCACTTCATTAGATTTTCGACACCGGTTGGTGTAAAATTACCAGACAACCTGTCTATGTACTCACCTTGTACAATTAGTTTTGGCCCGTCCGCATTTGGCGCTAAAAACTCTCTATCCAACTTACCTTACTAGAGGGCTATGTACTGTGTTTTGCAAATGGTGTCAAAACATTTTATCCATAGAAAAACAATATAATTGATTTTAATTACTATTTAACTGGGAATAAGCCACAATTAAAGGTAAAAATACGTTTATTCCCAGTTAAATAGTAATTAAATTTAAAATGCCACTAGAAAATAGCTTACAATATTAAGAAACCGTTATGTGCCCAGCATTATTCATAATTGATTTTATCTCAAAAATAGGAGACAATGACAGTGTACATAAATTTTTATATATTTAATAAACATTGCTAAAATAGATGAAGGTACAATTACCAAAATGGTATAGTACTGTTTTGTACATCTTGCTTTTCTATTTACATTAACTTTAAATCTTAACGTCAGAATATGAATCTTTATTTATATACAATATATTAAAATCAATAAAACTTAACTCTTATAATTTCCTTAAAGTTTATTTTATAAAAAAGTCATTTATTCTTAATTTTAATAATATTCCATTATTATAGATTCTCATGGACATGGATATATATTTTTCAAAATAATTAAAAAAAGTAAATTGTATTCAATCCACAATTAATATAGTATCAAAGAATATAGGTGCTCATATATAAGTGTCTATATTCTTCGATAGTATATAAGCATGCTTCACATATATATAAAAGAAAGAATCCACTTCTAATTTAATTAAGTAGTAGTGTTATTCCACTACATATATTTAGTTGCAATATATTTTACAATTTCTATCTCTGCAGTTATCTACCACATTTTGTAAACATTGAATGAAATAAATACTCATTAAAAGTGCAAAAGTATGTTAATATACATAGATTAATATATTTACAATCAATGTTGCTTTCCTAGTTCATTTTAACCAGTCAGGAGAATGAATTTGAATGTAGCATTCTTAGTGACATCATTCACTCCATTAGATTTTCGACACCGGTTGGTGTAAAATTACCAGACAACCTGTCTATGTACTCACCTTGTACAATTAGTTTTGGCCCGTCCGCATTTGGCGCTAAAAACTCTCTATCGAACTTACCTTACTAGAGGGCTATGTACTGTGTTTTGTAAATGGTGTCAAAAACATTTTATCCATAGAAAAACAATATAATTGATTTTAATTACTATTTAACTGGAAATAAGCCACAATTAAAGGTAAAAATACGTTTATTCCCAGTTAAATAGTAATTAATTTAAAATGCCACAAGAAAATAGCTTACAATATTAAGAAACCGTTATGTGCCCAGCGTTATTCATAATTGATTTTATCTCAAAATAGGAGACAATGACAGTGTACATAAATTTTTATATATTTAATAAACATTGCTAAAATAGATGAAGGTACAATTACCAAAATGGTATAGTACTGTTTTGTACATCTTGCTTTTCTATTTACATTAACTTTAAATCTTAACCTCAGAATATGAATCTTTATTTATATACAATATATTAAAATCATTAAAACTTAACTCTTATAATTTCCTTAAAGTTTATTTTATAAAAAAGTCATTTATTCTTAATTTTAATAATATTCCATTATTATAGATTCTCATGGACATGGATATATATTTTTCAAAATAATTAAAAAAAGTAAATTGTATTCAATCCACAATTAATATAGTATCAAAGAATATAGGTGCTCATATATAAGCGTCTATATTCTTCGATAGTATATAAGCATGCTTCACATATATATATATATATATATAATATAAGAAAGAATCCACTTCTAATTTAATTAAGTAGTAGTGTTATTCTACTACATATATTTAGTTGCAATATATTTTACAATTTCTATCTCTGCAGTTATCTACCACATTTTGTAAACATTGAATGAAATAAATACTCATTAAAAGTGCAAAAGTATGTTACTTTTTTTAATATACATAGATTAATATATTTACAATCAATGTTGCTTTCCTAGTTCATTTTAACCAGTCAGGAGAATGAATTTGAATGTAGCATTCTTAGTGACATCATTCACTTCATTAGATTTTCGACACCGGTTGGTGTAAAATTACCAGACAACCTGTCTATGTACTCACCTTGTACAATTAGTTTTGGCCCGTCCGCATTTGGCGCTAAAAACTCTCTATCGAACTTACCTTACTAGAGGGCTATGTACTGTGTTTTGCAAATGGTGTCAAAAACATTTTATCCATAGAAAAACAATATAATTGATTTTAATTACTATTTAACTGGGAATAAGCCACAATTAAAGGTAAAAATACGTTTATTCCCAGTTAAATAGTAATTAATTTAAAATGCCACAAGAAAATAGCTTACAATATTAGGAAACCGTTATGTGCCCAGCCTTATTCATAATTGATTTTATCTCAAAAATAGGAGACAATGACAGTGTACATAAATTTTTATATATTTAATAAACATTGCTAAAATAGATGAAGGTACAATTACCAAAATGGTATAGTACTGTTTTGTACATCTTGCTTTTCTATTTACATTAACTTTAAATCTTAACCTCAGAATAATGAATCTTTATTACAATATATAGTTTAAAATCATTAAAACTTAACTCTTATAATTTCCTTAAAGTTTATTTTATAAAAAAGTCATTTATTCTTAATTTTAATAATATTCCATTATTATAGATTCTCATGGACATGGATATATATTTTTCAAAATAATTAAAAAAAGTAAATTGTATTCAATCCACAATTAATATAGTATCAAAGAATATAGATGCTCATATATAAGTGTCTATATTTTTCTAGAGTATATAAGCATGCTTCACATATATATAAAAGAAAGAATCCACTTCTAATTTAATTAAGTAGTAGTGTTATTCTACTACATATATTTAGTTGCAATATATTTTACAATTTCTATAACTCTTCAGATATCTACCTCATTTTGTAAACATTGAATGAAATAAATACTCATTAAAAGTGCAAAAGTATGTTACTTTTTTTAATATACATAGATTAACATATTTACAATCAATGTTGCTTCTAGTTCATTTTAACCAGTCAGGAGAATGAATTTGAATGTAGCATTCTTAGTGACGTCATTCCCTCCATTAGATTCTCGACACTGATTGGTGTAAAGTTGCCAGACAACCTGTCTATGTACTAACCTTGTAAAATTAGTTTTGGCCCGTCCGCATTTGGCGCTAAGAACTCTTTCTCAAATCTTTCTATGCAATATGCAATTTACCTTACTAGAGGGCTATGTACTGTGTTTACAAATGGCGTCGTAAAAACACTTTATCCCAAATTTTAGAAATAGGAGATAAAGACAGTGTAGATCAATTTTTATATATTTAATAAACATTACTAAAAGAGATAAAGGTACAATTACCAAAATAGTATAGTACCGTTTTGTACATTTTGCTTTTCTAGTTACATTACCTTTAAATCTTAACCTTATAACATGAATCTTTGTTTATATAGGTACTATATATTTTTTAAAATCATTAAAACTCTTACAATTTCCTAAAAGTTTATTTTATAAAAAAGTCATATATTCTTAATTTTAATAATATTCCATTATTATAGATTTTCATGGAGCTTGTACTTCTGAGTAATAATAGTATATGCTAATTTGTGATGATTCTGAAGAGCAAGATTCCAGAAATGCTAGTTACACTTTATTATCTACAAATACAGATGGTCTTTTAAAGAAGAGTATTTTAGAAGGTATGGAACTTAAAAACTATACAAAACCAGTACTAATTAGTATAGAGGCATCTGTATTTGTTTATCAAAAGGAAGATCAAATGAAGACTGGTGGGAAAATCCTTAGATGAAATTGTCCATTTTTTACAGGATCGCAGCTAATGGAGACAGCAAGATAGCAATATTTAGAGTGCCTCTATCCACAGAAGGGCTTAAAGAATGAGAATATTTATTGCCAACACTTTACCAAAGAAAATTATATTATTTGATTTAGATAAAAATGCGTGTATATCATATTTTTGGACATAGAGAATATATTTTTTATGAGTATATTTTCAATTAAAAGCATAATTTTGCCGCCTAAAATTCAGAGCATACTTTTTAATTTGTCGCCTAAAATTCAGAACTTTGAATTTGCTGCTAAATGAAATTAGTTTCGGCCCGTCCGCATTTGGCGCTAGAAACTTCCAAAATTTCTATGGGACTTACCTTACTAGAAGGTTATGTCAGCAGCAGTTAACTTGACATTGACAATTAAAATGTCAAATTTGTTTGAGTTTTGTTAAAAAAAAAGTTATAAAATGGTGATTAATAGAGAAAAATATTTTGCAAAAATAGAAATACATACATTCATTTAATTTGGTTTTCAATCAATCAAATTTTTTGAATAGTATAACTACCAGAGCTACAAAAAATGACTGGTAAGATATTTTTTTGAAAAATAATGCAATTTTTCTAATTTTATATTTGTATATTTAGACCTATTCACGAAGGTTAACTGTACATACTGCCAGGAAGAAATAAACAGTGTTAGAGTAAAATGTTGTGTTTGTGCCGATTTCGACATATGCCTTCCAGTAAGTAGTACAAAGTAATGTAATACCCACAACTTCTAATTCATCCTTTAGTGTTTTTCAGTTGGTGCAGAAATAGGACCGCACAAAAATGATCACTCCTACAAATTTGTTGACCACTGTGCAGCTAGTGTCTTTGGTGGAAGAGGAGGATGGACAGGTAAAGAACATTTGCAATTGTTGGATGCAGTAGAGTTGTATGGATTTGGTAATTGGGAGTTGATCAGTGAACATGTTGAAACAAGAACTCCAGAAGGTAAGTGTACAATTGTATATCATATTTAACTTAAGTTGTCTGCTTTACATTGGTTAATCTTTTTGTTGTTGATTTTAGAGGTAAAAGAAGAATACATAGCTCGTTATTTAGATGGAAATGTAGGAAAAGCCACTCTAGCCAGCGTTATTGCCAATAAGCCAGTTTTAACTGATCATGTCAAGGAAGATACAGGACCTCTGTCACCTACTGTTGTAGCTAAGTTACCACCATTAGATGTCACTCTTGAAGAAGCTCGACTGCTAGGCTACAGACCACATAGAGATGATTATGAAAGGGTATGTAATATGCTTGTTGTTGAATCATCCACAATAATCATAAGTGAACTTGGTTGGAAATGATATTTTCGTGTTCTTGTTGGTTATATTTTCCAAAAAATATCCAAGATGTATGCTTTTTTTGGTTGATCAAGTTACCTTGTTAAAAATACTTATTTAGTGATTATTTTTCACCAAGCTGATTTTAAATGGGCCAAATATTTTATTGCTATATATTACAGTTAGTAGTATAAATAACATAAAAATGAATATCTACCAAGTATTTTACATATCCACACCCAAATTATACATTTTTGAAGATATAATGATTCTTTAACAAAAATAATGAACTTTAGATGATTTCGATTCATATTCCTATACAGAACTTATATATTTTTAAACTATAGATAAAATTTCACTTTCTAGGATAATACACATTGTAGAAAGATTGGTTTCTTTTCAAACACATTTACTTTATGCCTACATTTCAACCATATCAAACATAAAACTTTTGTATTAACAGAAGTTCCTTTTAAAACACTATTTTCTGCCTAAATTTCAACAAACATATAGTTTCATAATTACATATAACATATCCAAGAACAATAACAAGTATATGTTTACCTGTTGGGTGACTTTAATTTGCTAAGGGTAGAATGCTCAGTAGAAGAGTACTTTTCAGTGACTATTATAGCATCCCTTCAAGATTCTGAAAATAACAGTGTCATTTCTAGTTTATATTCCTTTTGTAACAGTTTTCAAGTAAATTGTGTTTCCAATAATATATGATCAGGCAGAGTTATTTGCAGCAAACTGTATTTTCCCTGTGTTGTATATGTTCAAAACAATTTGCATAACATGTTTAGTGATCAGGATCTGAAGATTTCCGCATTTAGACTATCTGTTGATCCAACCACCTTATTTTTTTAAACTAGAGATTTTTTAAACTTATCTTGGCCTTTCACTTCAATTGGTACAATTTAGACTTTTTCATCAAGAATGATTTAAAAAAAATTATTTTTTTTATTTTAGGAGTACAACATGGAGGCTGAGCATCTAGTATCTAAGCTTGTCTTAAATCCCGATCAAGATACTGAAATGGAGATTGCTTTAAAATTGTCAATAGTAGATATGTATGCTAGGAGATTAAGGGAAAGAGCTCGTAGAAAAAGATTAGTTAGGGAGTACCAACTGGTAGCAAAATACTTTGCTAATATGAGAAAAGATCCCAGTAAGATGCCACAATTTACAAAGGAACAAAGGTACTTATAACTTGAAACTATTTTGTTTTGTTTATTTAGTTTTTAATAATGTTAAAATATCTCAAAGAATACTAGGATTATTGCTTTAGTTTCGGGATAGAAGAAAACAAAAATATTTACTGTACAATTTGATTTATGTACAATTGTTTTATTGCATTCTATACAATACAGCTTGAACTAAAAACAAAAGAGATAAACATAGGTACACAAAAATTGTTTTAGAACTCTCCAGCAATGACTAGTGACTCATCAGAACTTTCTTGGTTGTGTAGGTCCGTCTCAGGATACAATATTAAAAAAAAAGGAAATTAAATTGTATTTGGTACTAAAAGATGTATTTTCAGGGAATTACGGGAAAAATTTCGAGTTTTTTCCCAATATATGTCCTGTGGCGAGCATGACCGTCTTATAGCAAGTTTAGAAAGAGAAAGTCAACTACGTCATCGATTGTCGGAACTTCTGAAGTATCGCAGTTTGGGTCTTAAGACGCAAGAAGAAATCATCCATTATGAACAGCATGTTGTTCATGAAAGGCAGCAGATGTTGAAGCAAACCAACAAAACTGTAAGTTTTTTTATGATATTTTTGTTAATAATGTAAAGTCATTGAAAAAGATGGTAATTAAGAAAGTTGTGGATTGTCCAAATGCTGATGGCTCGCATTTCAGTTATTTTACAAATCATAAATGTAAGTGTATAATGACATTTATGTCATTGTCAATATAAACATTGTTTATAAACAAATTGTATTTAAATGTTTATGTAAAAAATATGTTAAGTTGCCAAAATACTATTTATATAAAAGACAGATTATACCAGAAGCAATTGAGATCAAAAAACACTCTGAGTGCATCAATAAAAGATATGATGATGGTCTATTAACTTAAACATGGAAATTGCTTCTTTCGTGGAAGTCTACTACTTTTTAAAATTACTTAGGAAGTACTTAAACAATAGTTTACAAATAGAAAACAATATGAGAACATTTAATGGGGTGTGACTGTGGGGAAGGGTGAAAAGCATGGAGTTTTTATCGCCTATGTACATCTTTAATTTATTTTATTTTAATTTAATTTATTTCCATTTCAAGAAACATACATGGCCCTTTGTTTACTGCTCGACATAGGGTATGGTCGCGCAACCATTCCTCTGTGTGATCCACTGCACCGATCAATGCATCCTGTCCGTAGCCCGCAATTAGAAACCTATGCTTCCAACATTTGTTAATAAAAAAAAAATCCATTCCACCCCAGTATATCGTATATTCTCATAAACTTTCTAATTATGTAAATGTTGTAACTAACGTTTTTTATGTTTTACGGCGTGCAGTCTAACAATACCAAAAATCCAGGCTACGTTAAAAGAAACAAGTTGTACCAATTTGCATTCCATCTGGGACAACAATGGCTTTCTACTGCAGGTGTTCCGCCTCCAAAAAGGGTGAGTATCATAATAGAACACTCTATATAAGTTACTGTATATTGTGGTTGATAGTATTATGTTTGAATTATTAGAATGAATAGAGTTTAGTATATTAAGGCTTTATTAAATCTTTAATATTACACACTAATTAATATGACAAATTAGACAATACTTCACTATACCATGGAAGAAGACCGCCATAACAAAAAAAAATGAAAAATGAACTACGTTAGTGAACAGATCTGAAATATTCTATATTTTTTTGACTGATAACGTCATAAAGTTGGTTTATGTCTATGGCTGTCAGATGGTAGAAGTGTCGTTATTGTTAATCAAAAAGTTGGTTCAACACTTTGCAACTTTTTGTAAAGAATAATGCATTATTTTGAGTTGTGTCAGTCTTATAGAGAAGTTTAGGTTATGTTTCAAACGAATTACAGTATTCTCTTAAGTTATGTCAGTATTTTACAAAATTATTAGAACCCTTTGAATTTTTGAACAAAACTATCTACAAATTATATAGACTTTGGCTTTGGAAATATCCAGTTGGAATTATTTCAGATTATAAAAATGTCTCAAGAATTAAGGGTAAACGCATGCTAAAATTGATTTTTGTAAAAAATAATGAGAGTGTAGTATGGAAAGTTAAATAATGAATTTTCAAATGAAGACAAGTAATTTTTTAAAGAACGTCACAACTCAAAATTTTATGATCTAAAGGCTTATGGAAGTATGGATTTACTTAGCTTGATACAGGTTTTTACTGGCTAGTAAACAACAAAAGCTACAATATTAGGCTGTGCGGCAGTTATAGGTAAAGTTTTTATATTTTTTAAAATACATATATTGAGTTTTAAATGGCCATTTCATGAAAATTGTCACATTTTGACATGTGTCGGTCTTCTTCCAAGGAAGCGATATGCTAACCATAAAATCTACCCTTTATTAATACCTTGACAATGAAAAGGGGTCTAAATTGTATAACTTTTTGCATAATTTAATATTTTTTGTAACAGTGTTGTTAATGTCGAGGTTAATCCAAAATATTATGTTTATATACTTTCTAAGCTGTATCAAAAGAACTGTTTCCATCTATCTCTGTTGTCCCATTCTCCATCGTTTAGGCCTCTCTTAGTCATGGCGTCGTCTACTTCGTTCCTCTAGGATCTTCGGGATCGTTCTCTTTTCCTCCTTTCTATGGGGCTCTATTCAGTTATTCCCTTTATCCATCTGCTGTCTGCAGATGTTCTCCGTTACCGTTTTGTTCCTCTCCAAATCTCCTGATTACTTTGTCGTTTTCTTTCCTTCCGGTTCTGCAGTTGTCTCCTGTTATAATTATCTACACGTTCTTCTTGATTAGCTCTATTTGGTGTTGAAATTGTTTCCTGAAATTTTCTTTTTCTACTCTCGGGTATCGTTTGGTGGTGCATATACTCCGAGTATCACTGTTTTTTTACCGTATATATGCCGTGACTTTAAATAGATACTTTAAAAAGGTTTATTGGTAAATACAGTGTGTGGTCTCACATTTTTTTTGTCTTCAAAAAAACTGATTTAGATGTGTGGGGCTCGTTGGAATTGGTATTTATTGGATATTTTCGGTTGCAATAAGTATGAAACTGTAATGTTCAGTGGTTTTACTAGGGGTCTGTCTTGATTATTGACACCTGTTTGCTGGAAACCCAATTGGGTTTGAAGGACCAAGTGTTGATTTATTGATATTATATTGGTAATGAATTTATAATAAATATATACATATAAAAAACGCTATATTTAATTGAAACTTGTAATATTATACTATAGATGTGTTTATTTCGGTATGTTGGTCCCCTCTCTCTGGTCTACAGCGAAAGCGCTCTTTCGCGGTGAAGTCTGTTGGTAAAAAGCGCAGGGTCGGCTTAAGGTCGGCCGAAATAGGGCGTTATCCATAAATCCACATATATTTTTTTTAATTTCAAACTGTAAACTTGAAAATATTTATTAAATAAACAACGTTTTATTTTAGAAAAAGAGACGATCGAAGCACCGTTTCCACCGAAAGAAGGTTCACGTCGGAACGAAACGGAAGATGCGACATCAGCAGTTACTACTTCAACAGCAACTGGAACTAGGATAGTTCTAATCGTTTTAATTACTTTGCCACTAATTTTCACAAACATTTATTAACGAAACGAGTGTAGGTATATTTTTTATTATTATTTAAATGTATTTCGTATAGTAATTTGCAAGTATTGCTCACTTAATTAAACAAAAACGACTCATATGAACAGTAACAAAACTCGGTATAGTCTCTACACATCTTCTGTGTTGTTGAGAGCACGTTCTAAATCATCACAACGTAAGCGCCTTCTGTCTCCATCTACGAACCCCCTCACATATTAGTTGGTCCAACGTATTTTTAAATACATCCACAATTATTTGAGGCTTAGTTTTTACCAAGTTCTGACAAAATTCTAATGTAAACGAATCCCATATTTTTTGCAATTTTTCCTTCAATTCGTTGACGTACCTGGCAGGATGTTTTCTCAAAGCTTTTCATTTTGCACCACAAAGTTCCTATCGGGGACATGTCAGGACTGTTAGAAACCCGTTTCAGAAGTAGTATGCCATGGTCTTATAGTAGTATGGCCTCAAGTGTGAAAGAATGTATTTGTTGCTATCATTTCAAACTCCTGACAGAATTCCGTCAGTCTTTCCCCTCTTTCGTTCCTTATTCCTAGTCCGAATTCACCAATAATGTCTTGGAATTTACCTTTTCCTAATTTGGCATTAAAATCCCCCATTGTTACTGTTATATCTCTATTATTGGTGCTGTCTAGTGCTTTTTTAATGTCATTGTAGAACTCTTTTATTTCATTTTCATCTTTATCTGCAGTGGGGCGTACAGCTGTATGATATTAAGAGTTTTATGCGCTGGTTGGTCTGTGATCATTAACACTCTATCTGATATAGGAACAAAACAAGTTACAGCCTGGCAAAAACTGCGATCAACCACTATCGCGACGCCATTATAGTGGTGAAGATCTTCATTTTCTGAGTAGTATATTTTGGCACCGTCGACTTCGATTTTGCCAGATTTAGGCCATCGGGTCTCGCTTATTCCCATTATATTGACAAGTCGCCTCATCTCATGTATTACATTGTGAATCTTCCCTGCTTCATATATAGACTTCACATTCCAGGTACCTATCTGCAGTTCGTTTATATTTTTGTGTCTGACGCGGGTTTTCCGCATGTTGGCGACCTGAAAGGCCCCGCGGTCTAACTGAGAATTGCCTCCCCTGTCGGATCTTGGTATCCGATGTCCATGATCAGTAGTTGTGAAATTGTCTTTTATAATAGCCATGATAATTGACAAGAGATATCTATAATATAATGGTTTCTCTTTGCCTTCTACATCCTTCTGCCTTTTACCACTTCTTTGGTTCATCCGCCTTGGGAGTCGATTTCTCAACTCCAGGACAAAAGAGTGCCCTATCACTTACCAACTCATCCGCCCGTAGCCGTTGGTCAGTAAGTGAGAGATTGCTTATACCGGCAATCACTCGGTCCCTATCTGCATTGGCCATCTATAGATAGATGTTGCTTATCTTCTACCACGTGGAGCATTTTACAATGCTTCTGCCAAATTGTTGTATATTTTTTAGTTACACGACGTGTAATAGAAGTATTGATTGAAATATTAAAACTGTAACATTTTTAATTGTATTTATTAATTATTAATAATATATATATCATTAAATTCTTATTTTATTTTTAGGAACTGTTTAGATGTTTCGACGAGTCTAAATGCCAGTTAAGACTGACCTTATTATGAAAGTAGTACAAAGTTTTTACCTAGTGAGTAGTTCTTCAATGCAACAACTGTTTACCAACTCTATCGAATAATTAATTGCTCATAAAGTGTGTCTAAAAAGCTACGGTGCTGTTTTAAAGCAATTTAATAATTTATTGATCGTTTTATTAATTTTTCAAAGTTTATACAATATGTGTCTTCTTACAAACAATAAAAATAATAAATCCATATCATTATTTATATCTCCTCTTGCTTCGCTTATATTCTGAGCTGTTTCTTTGATTACACTATTTAATTATTGTAGCTAAATTAACCGAAGTTGGACCATGTCGACGTTTCGACTCCATTTCTGTATTTAGGACTTTTGGAGCTCAGTATTCATTTCATTTTACAAGAAAAACTTCAATATGTACCGAATCAAGGCCTTAAATCAGAACCATTATTTTTAGACCCACTAAATAGTAAGGCTATATTCAGAATTGTATATATATTATTGTATTACTATATTTAAGCTCTTATTTTTATTAATTATCTATACCTGCTTATTTCCTTTTATATATAATTTTAGCTGTATTGTGTATTTCGAACCGCCATGTTTTATTTATGTTTTTGAACAATAAGCGTTTTATGTAGAAAAGAAAAATGTGATTGATTTTAACCCTTACTGAAATTAACCAAATTATTAATTTACAAAGGCAAAAGATGAATATAGTGGTTTTCCATTTTTTGTAGTCAATAGTTTCTTTTAATAAATATATGTGTACACAAATTGTTATTTTATTTACTTTTTACCTCAATTTAAAAACCTACAATGAGACCAAGAAGACTTCTTGCAGTAAATAATTCTTCCAACGAAGTTTTTCAGGTCCACTGTCAAGTTCTTAAGTCACAAAATTCTTCATCTATCTGATTAATTGACAATTATTTAAATACTGTACTTAATCGGGAACAATTCACCTTTACTCCAGTATCTTGTGATCTAGTGCAAAAATTGTTATATACAATTAAATCTAATGCTTTAGGGTCAGACGGTTTAAACTTAAAACTGTTGCCTCTCGAGTAATTATTTTCCAGATGAATGGAAAAAAGTACTAATTAGACCCATACCGTACAGAACGTTGCTGTCAGGCAGATATCAGCTGACGAATTAAATTCAAAATCAAAACAAAACAACCAAATGCATCAACAAAATACAGGCGTTAATAGACAGAACTTAAACGCTGGTATTCTGCATGCTCATACGGCTAATAAAATGCAAGAAATAATAAATTTAGGCCACATAGAAAATTATGAAGGTGAATGGCAGCAGCAGCATAGAAGGAGATACCGCAAGTTTATGGTTGGGAATAACGAAGAAACCAAGGATGTGCAGTCAGTACCTAAGTGTGTATCTCTTCATGTAACTAGGCTTGCACCAAATACGACCACAGAAGACTTAAAGAGGCTTTTAGACCCCAATTTTAAAGATGTACGGTGTGAGTCTCATCCATCTAAACACCCTGAACTTTATATGTCGATGAAAGTTACCATCAGAAGAGATGAACTAAAAAAAGCTGGGAAGTATGGCCATCTGGTACCCTCGTGTCTCATTTTTTAGTAAAAACGAGGATGCCAACAAGACAAATGGATCCTCAGAATCAGAATTAATGATACAAACATTGCAGACCCAAAATCTAAACATTTTCTATCAAAATGTAAGAGGCCTACGCACTAAAACAAGTGACCTATATACCAATGTTCTTAGTGAAGATTTTGATATAATTTTTTTAACTGAAACATGACATAGATGGAATCTCCAATGAAGAACTTTTTGATAATCGCTACATAGTCTTCCGCAAAGATAGGGCCAGTGTTAAGACATCGGGTGGTGGAGTTAGCATTAACAAAAAATTTATTGTAGAAAGTATTAAAGTTAATTTTATTATAATTGTTGAGTGCTTGTTACTTAAGGTAAGGTTTAAAACATATTCATTTTATGTCTCCTGTGTATGTATGCCTCCTGGTGTAAGGTTAGATATTTATGAAGAACTTTATAACCAAATATTGTCAGAAAATATTAATATTATCATATTTGGAGATTTTAATATTCCTGGATTTATTAACTTCAGTTCTGAAATGAGCTGCACGTCATCATTGACATTTCTACGTCACAGTTCAAACGTACTTAGAAATTCCCCAACGATAATTTTACATTTATTTTATTTACGTATAATTATAATCTTCATTTTAAAATTAGTATTAAAAACAATTAACATTAAGTATCATTAAAAAAGGTAATTGACTATTAATTTATTAAGTGCAAAAGACAGAAACTTTTATTCTTGTTTACATGGTTCATGTGATTCATTTATGACCTGCAGACAAGTGCATTTTCAAGAGTTTCTATCCCCTTTTATTACTTGAATGAAGTTTGTGTAATATAAACAAATCTAAAATACAGTGAATGGACAATTACTTATTTTATATCAGTAAACAACATGCCAAAACAACTCAATAAAGTTGTAAGGTACTTATGTATTGATTAAATTAACATTTTAAAAAATAATGTAATAATCAAGTGCTACAAAAAATATTTTTATGATTTACATTCGGCCAGTGTTATGTGACCAATCGTACCACACCAGATTTTTAATTTCTGAACAAAATGTGTCCATAGACGAATACTTAAATGCTTATTCATACCAACAAACTACATTCTTTGTATTGTGCTAGACATTGAGGAAAACATGTTTTCATTTGTAAATAAAAAGTTTGGAAAATTTTGAATTAGGATCAAATCTCTTTCTTGTGTTTTGACAATACACAATATGTCAGTTTTTGTAAATTCTACCAATTAATTCTAGATATAAATACGCTAATATCCATATATTTTAAAGACTATTCCAACTACTTTAGATATAATGCCTGCTATTAATTACTGGAACATTTAATAAATATTTATTTTAACAGTAGCACATATAATAGTAATTGTAAGTTACCTACATTTGGCGCAACTTGGTGACTTAAAATAATGGAACTTACTCTTCCAGTTAAATTATATTTGTAAGTTATAAATACTAAAGAATTTTAATAATGTATATTAAAAACAAAGATTTTATTTCTGAATACTTTATATCAGTTGGTAGCAATAGCTGTCAGCTTGTCAGCATAACACTGTCAAAATCCGCACGTCAGTCTAAGTGACGTGCATCGAAATTAGCACAAAAAAAGTCATCTTTGATTGTCATGTAAATTTTTTCAGTAACATCAAGAAGAAATGAACTAAGGATTTAAAGCCTCGCGAAGCTGGTTAGAGCAGGTCAAATCTAATCCATTCATTGCCGAGTCTTATTTTGACATTTAGCTATGTCTGGTAAGTTATTGTTTTTGATAGGTTTGATTTTTCCTGCCTTCTACACGGTTTTTAGATTTATTTACTAAAGTCAGCTGTACTTACTGTCAAGAAGAGATAAACAATGTGAGAGTAAGATGCTGTATCTGCCCAGATTTTGACATATGCCTCCAAGTAAGTCTTACAAAAAAGTATAAAGACAATTTTATAATAATTGGTTTTTTGTAGTGTTTTTCTATCGGGGCGGAAATAGGGCCCCATAAAAGTGACCATGCATATCAGTTAATGGATCCCTGTTCTGCAAGTATATTTGGTGGCAGGGGAGCTTGGACTGGAGGAGAGCATTTACTGTTGTTGGATGCTGTTGAATTGTATGGATTCGGTAATTGGGAGTTAATAAGTGAACATGTAGAAACTCGTAGTGTAGAAGGTAAGTAACAGTTACTGTCTATTTACAAGGTGCTCAAACAAAAGTAGTTTCAATTAAAATTCAATCATAACTCTTCAATGTGGGTGGTCTGTTAGTAAAAGATTGTTATTTTCTCAGCCAATTTCCATTATGACATTAATCCAACATAACTTATACTTGTAAGAAACTATTTTTGTAATTTTACTTTCTGCAGGCTGCAGTCATGTGTCAAGTAAGTAGTAATTGAAAAACTAAGGCTCAGACAATGCATAATTTTGTGTTTTTTAATATTGGTAATCATTTACGTACAAATCTAAAAGTTAAATCCTACATTAACATTCTTAATATGGTTATTAGCGTTAATATTCCTTTTGCAGAAGTAAAAGAAGAATACATAGCCCGTTATGTAGATGGAAATCTAGGGAAAGTTACGATGACTAATCCGAATCTCAAAAAGCCAGTTTTAGTTGATCATACTGTAGATGATGAAGCATCTATGACACCAGCACCTCCATTAGATGTTACACTGGAAGAAGCCAATCTGTTAGGGTACAAACCATATAGAGATGATTATGAAATGGTAAGATCTCTTATTAAAAATTGTATTTAATAGGTTCACTTTTGATTATTATATTTTATTTTTTGATGCACATCTTTACCACTTCTTACCATTTGTTTCTTACCAATTATTTTTTCCAATTGCGGGTGATAATTTATGTGGAATTTTGTATATATTGTAAAAACGCCATAATTTCCAACTTACAGCCAGTTTTAGATTGAGAATCTTAATTTAACTGATGTAATATATTCTCCAAATATCATTTCTATGGTCTGCCTTTAGGCCACTACTGTACAGTTTACGAGAGACCATTATTTCATTTTTTTATTTCATTTATTTTCCCATTTCTGCTTCTGTTGCTCACCTCCCATGCTTTATTTTGAAAAATATATTTTTAGGAGTACAATATGGATGCTGAGGGTTTAGTATCGAAACTAAGCTTAGACCTTGAAGAGGACAGTGGTGTAGAAATAGTGTTAAAGTTAATGATAGTAGACATGTATATGCGAAGACTGAAAGAAAGAACTCGGCGGAAAAAAATAGTCAAAGATTATCAATTAGTAGCTAAATATTTCGAAAATCTTAGAATGGATCCATACAAAGCACAGATAACTAAAGATCAAAGGTATGTATTCATTATATATTATTTATTTTAACTTTACATCATTTGTTTTGAAATGAGAAATCCTCTTTGGGATTGAGCAAATTGTTAAAAGTTATCAATCATGTGTAAAATCGGCAAAACATAGAACTAAAATGCACAATCCAATTTGTTCCGGAGTTTACTTATGCGGGATTAGTTATCTTTGATTTATGTATCATATTTGTAGGGTTACCACAATATATATGCAGAAATGGCAGTTTATTTTTTGTATATGAATTAATTTTAGTTAAAGTTTTATTGATTTACTGATTATTTTAGAGAATTTAAGGATAAATTTCGAGTTTTTGCCCAATTCATGCCGCCGGCCGATTACGAACGAGTAACGTCCAGCCTTGAAAAGGAAAAAGAACTTCGTCATCGGTTATCAGAACTCACAAGGTACAGAAGTCTTGGTCTTCGAACTCAGGAAGAAATTAACCAGTATGAACAGCATGTGGTACAGAGGCAGAACAACGAACCTGTAAGTTATATTTATTTTTATATTTAAGTATATGTTTATTATTACATTTTGTATAAATATACAACTTTGGAAGTCACACAAGTAAACATACTAAAAAGTGTCATCATGTCATTTTTCAAATTCAATGGAATTATATATCCTTATTTGCTTACATACTTTTATATGTATTGTTCTCTTCTTCAAGTGCCGTCTTCGTTCCGAAGTTTGGCTATCATCAAAGCTATGCATATTTTTGATGCTGCAGATCTAAACAGATGGTAATTGGTTCAATTGTACCATTCTCTCAAGTTTTTCAACCATGAATGCCTTCTTCTTCCTATAGATCTCTTTCCCATTATCTTTCCCTGTATAATCAATTGCAGCAACTGGTATTTATCTCCCCTCATAACGTGTATGTATTGTTAATAATAGTTAAATTCTTGCATAGGGTACCAGCAGCATGGTGCAACTGGAATTTCATCAAAATGGGTAAGAAACTATTTTTAATGTTTATATTTTGTGTAGCTTTGGTCAGTAATGTCTGTACTACGTTTAGTACATTGTTTTCATTTTAAACATCATCTTTGTTTAGAAATAGTGATGAGCAAGATATTCCGATGGATATAATATCTGGAGAAACAGAAACGAATGGGTGTTCTTCCAGTTCCAATATCGATCTGTCTCCAGTAGATGCATCCACATTGCGATACCATCCCATGGGAAACCTTTTATCGGAAAACGAAATAAATGTAAGTCAATGGCTTATTATATTATGAGAATTTTTGAATTATTATCCAACTTTAGTAATTTTTTGGAGTTCCAATCATTTAAGTTGTAGCTTTTGTATCCATTGTCAATTATGCAGGGTATTGAACTTGTTACAATTTTCATTGAAATTTGTAACAATTTGTAAAAATGAAGCAGATTTAAATTTACAATAAAATACAGGGTGTTTCATTTGAAACACAAAAAATATCTTTAATGTGGTACAGTGTTGTGGAAGATCCTGTATATTTGCAAGTAATTTTGCTTGCAAAATGTGACGCTTCCAGCTACCTCTTATTTTTGTAAATAATTTTGTTGATATCTCCTTTTGGTATGCTGTATTATACAATCGATACATTAATTTTTTTTGTTGCAGCTTTGTGCCAACTTGAATATTCGTCCTGTTCACTACACAACTTTGAAATTGATGATTATTCAGGTAAAAATAAAATGAATTATATGTATATTAAATACCGTTTTTAAATTTGACAGCTGTAATGTACTAGTTTCTATTTGGCGCATGCGCGTTCTGTATTTATCTCTCTATAAGTAAAACGTCATTTCAGAAACGTTTAACTACTTGTGATTAGTTTTGGAATGACTCTGACTGTGAAATGCGTGTCGTTATTGGTAGTGAAGATAAAAACCTTAAATTGTATGAAATATTTTCACCAAAATATGTAGTAAAAAGAACAAAATAAAAAGGAGAAGAGGAAAGGGAGAGAAAGAGAAAGAAAACAAAGATTAAAAAGGAACAAAAAAGGGAAAAGAAAGAATGCAAGAAAAGTAAGAAATTTTTCTTCTTTGGGAACTTTACAAAACCTCACGAATGCATTATGACAGGAATAAACGAGATAAAAAAGGAATTTTGCCTTAGACAGATTAAAAAAGAAAAAACCTAGTAAAGAGACACAAAAATTACTGGAAGAACAAAGACAACCAACAGACAAGTACGGAAGAAACTATGAAAAATTGAGACGAAAGAAAAAGAAGTCCGTTAGAAGCGACATGAGAAAATATAATAAAAAATGTACAATCAAATAATAGAAGCGAATATAATGAATAATTGTGTAAGCTAAATGATAATGAATTTTTGTGTATACTAAATATGTATAGTTTAGTTGTCTATACTCAAAGAACTATCAGTCTTTTCATGTATACTCAAATCGTCTGTCAATCTCTCTTTTTAACACTTAGCATAATAAATGCACCTTTCACCTCCAGTGTTCCATTACTCCTACCAATATTAGTTTGGTAGATCACACGCATATGACAGAAAATGGTAGCTAGACAACTCAAAGCGAATATTATCGTTTCACCTTTATACACAGAGCAGCCCATACCCTACCTAGTTTATTCTTATCACATCTATGCTTATCTTGACGCTTATGGGTCCATCTCAATGTTTTGCTACATTTGTAGGTAGCTTTTTCATGAACAGATGAAGGCGGTGATTTACAAACTACCCACAGTCGAAAATCATTAATTGCGAAGGGATTTAAGCACAGCATTCAATGTCGTTGATATTGTTTTTCTACTTGATATTGATGAATTGTTAGATTGTGTTTAAAATGATTTCATTTTTTAGGACAATCTAGTGAGCCCCGGTAAGTACCGAAACTTGCCGGCAGAGGGAGAAGAAGGGAGTGTTAAAGAAGCCATAACTCAGTACCTAAGCACCAGCGGATGGTTACCAAATATGTCGTTCTGACAATGCGACGACTTTATGGACTTTGAGGAATTGTGGAATTGGTTGCAGACGTGAAAGGTTATTATTCTATAGATACTCAATAATTGCCGCTTCGCAATCGACGGTTGGGGCGCTGGATAGAATATTGTGATTTCTCTTCTGTATACATACTTACCTGGTCGTTATACAAGATATTTATGGCTGTTATAGGGATATGCAGTTGTGTTTATTGTACCAAATATTGATGGAATAAACTTTTGACCATGTTATTTTTATTGTTTTTATTCACACCGTTTTTAGATTTAACCCATAGTCCTCAGTACGTCACTTTCTAGAAATCAAGCTGAACAAAACATTTTGGGAAGAAAAATAATAATATATGGTCCCGGAATAGTTTGATTGCAAAAACATTATGGACATCCGAGAAATTTCAGTCTCGTTGTGCTCGTGTTAGGATATCGAGGCCATAGAAAGATGTAAATTTTATATTTTGCTGTCTATGAAAAGGCCTTTGACAAAATCATTGAATTTTTTACCAAATACTAATAGTATACCTATAATATATTAATATTTTTTCAACTATTGAAAGCCTTCGAAATGAATTGGTTTAAAATGACATTTTTATTCAGCAACACTTCCACTATTCTCCAAAGATAATAATTTTCGGTATAAAACCATAGAAAAGTGACAGGTAAGCGCGTTTGAACATTTATTTGTACATATTAACAACTTTCATTCATTAAAATTTAAACATATATAATCTTAAATACAATAAAATCGAGCTGTAAGATATACAATAAGATGTCTTGTAGATTTAGAATCGACAATATTAATTCTTATTTAATTTTTAAAGTAGGTATAATACCAACGCCACTGATCACAGAAACAATACAATTTTTGCTTGGACATTAATGTCATGTCGTTTAAACTTACTTTGCATAAGGAAATATGTTTGTTATAAATAATATAATTGCTTAATTCCGCACCGGCTATATATGCATATATCAGTGCAAAAAAGAACTATAAGTTGCCTATATGTGGCGCAACTACTAACGTAAGTTAGCTGACCAACTTAGATTTGTTTTAAAAATTACGCATTGAAGGGAATTTAAATTACCAAAAACATGAAGATTTTTGTTTTAAAAAGTGTGTATCTGATTGCCACAACAAATAAGTGAAATTTTTTTTTCAAAATTTGCAGAGATCAAAATTTTTTTGACATTAGGAAACTGTAAATAAAATGTCTGGTAGTTGAGCGATCGATGGATATGTGACGCAACAAATATTAAAGAAATTTTACCAAGAGAAGTTTTTCTAAGGAATTTCAAAAAACTTCACAGTAATAGTTATTGTTTTGCTGTTTATTATTATAAAAAACGTGCCTGTTTGAATGATAAAGAATATTATTTTAATTAGATAATAAAATTAAAGTTTTAAGCAAACTGTTTATTTATTGAGCTATATAGATAGATATACCTATAATATTACTCTATCTAATACTGGGCATAATAAAATAAATAAAAAATAATAGAAAATGACGTGGTTAAACTTCTTAAAAGGTTAAGATATATTTATGGAGGTTGCTACTTTAGAAAAGCAGTTTGTGGATGCCGATGCCGCTCTCTAGGAATTTAACCGATAGATCCAGATAAATTTAAATACGAAGATTTTTTCCTGTCAATAAAATAAACAACTTTAATGCAGAAGATGATTCTGACATACAGTGTCGTAAAGTTCACTTTTATCTTTGTCAATAACTGAGGTCAGGGCCGGTTCTAGGGTTTTGAACAACTCCTGCAAAATAAAATGTGGCGCTCTTTTTCATTGTTATGAATAACTCAAACAACTTCTACAATACACAAGAAAGGAAGAAATTACTATAATATTAGGTGATTTAAATGCAAAGATAGGAAAAGACCGAGCCGACAATATAATATTGATATAAGGTTGAATGCTCGAACTTTCGCTTCCTAGAGCATCTTCAAGGGCATTTCGTCAATTTTGGGTTATCCAACAATTGCAGAATGCCATAGACTTAAAATTAAACATACAATTCAACATAACACTACACTAAACAAGGACAAACAGTTAAAATTATTTAAAAAATCGTGGAAGCTACTCTGGTCGCAACAGGAGAAAGAATGATCAAGAAATGAAGATTTCTTGATTGAATGATTTTATTCATTCTCATGGAATGTCAAAAGAGAAAAGGACTTAGCAAAAATGACATTAACATAGTGAGAAATCTCTATTGGAACCAACACGCTGTGGTAACATTAGATGGAAATAGCACGGATGCCCAACAGATAAGTAAAGGAGTGAGACAGGGCTGTGTACTTTCACCATTACTATTTAATATATATTCCGAAGAGTTATTCACGCAAATACTTGAAAACTGTACAGAAGGGATCAAGATAAATGGTGAAAATATAAATAACATCCGTTATGCTGAAGATTTCCTAAGACTTATGGATGAACAGGGAATAAAATGGATAACAACTGTATTCAACAACATATACGTAACTGGAAAAATACCCCAAAGCTGGTTAAAGTCGACCATCGTGACTATACCAAATAGTCTCCATAAATAGAGGAGTGAGGCAAGGATGCATTCTGTTCTCGGTGTTATTTAATATATACTCTGAATATATCTTCGAGCAAGCACTGGGAGAACTACAAGAAGGCGTATTAGTCAACGGAATGCGTCTAAACAACATTAGATATGCCGACGACGCAGTAGTTTTTGCACATAGTATGAACGGTTTGCAAAGAATACTGTCGTGTATATCAGATATAAGTAGAGAACACGGACTTGATCTTAATACGAAGAAAACAAAGTAAATGGTAGTCAGTAAGTGCGAAATATTAAATACACAGCTCTTGGTTAACCAACATCCAATTGACAGAGTGGACAACTAAGCATACCTTGGTACCAACGTTAACAGACAGTGGGATCACTCCAGTGAAATAAAACAACGCATAGGAAAAGCGAGATCAGCGTTCATAATGATGAAGTCTCTTTTCAGAAGTCACGATTTACCACTTGCTACCAAAATTTCTCTCATTAGATGCTATGTATTTTCTACGTAATTATAAGGAGTAGAGGTCTGGACACTTTCCGAAACTTCTTTCGAAGAAAACTCAAAGCATTCGAGATGTGGTGTTACAGACGTATTTTAAGAATTTCATGGGTGGATCGTGTGACTAATATTGAGGTCCTACGTAGAATAGGCAAGGAATGCGAGATTATTAACACCATCAAAGAGCGCAAACTAGAATATCTAGGATTTTTTGTTTTTTTTATATAGAGGTTTTGTTGAAAGTTAAAATGTTTATAATTTTAGATAATTTGAGGACCAAAGATAATAATTGATATACGTTAGGGATGTGCTGTGAACTATCGATAAAATGTTATGATTGAAAAACCAAACTATTAGACTTAGACTATATTTATGTTTTACACATTTTCCCTAAATAAAAACTTAAGTATTAAGAAATGTATTTTCTTCACTAACTGTAACTTAAGTACGTATTACCTATATCAATTTTTATTTAAAGTTAGGTAATTGTGCCGCATGATCTGAAATACTAATTAATGGGACGACTGAGGAAATCTAGTCTTGCATATTGGCCAGTTCGTCATCAATGCATGTTTTTTTAGTTGATGATAGCCTTGTAACCCAAAATTGTAAGTATGGTATGTATCACAAGAATTTATTAGAGCTAAATTAAAATTTATCGATCGTGTCAAGCTTGACGTCTACGTTGGAATCACTAAAAAAAAAGCTATCACTATAGCTGTATTTCACTCTTCCGAAACTTGTCTAAAATACATTTAAACGTATCAAAAAATATCTATTAAAATGTGCACCAGATGGTCTATAAATATAAATAACAAACGCTACCCTTTATATCGCGAAAAACTTTGTTATAAAATATATCTACTACAAAAAAGCCTAATATACTTATTGAAAGAGAATTTTCTTGTGCATTCAGATTTAGACCTCCTCTCGTTGGGTCGCCGCCATCGTCCTACCGAAAAGAGGCGGAGCATGGACCAGATCGTTCAGCATCTCGTCAGTGATTCGGAAAGGAGTCAGAGAGAGCAAATAACCTATTGACCAATCCAGTCAAATGCGACGGACGCAGTGGGTATGGGTAATTTTTATGATTCAGAAGAGAATATTTTATTTACATCATTTCATTGTTTATTTTAAGCTTAAAGAGAAATTAAGGGGTTTATTTTAGTATTAAAGATTGTTGTAATCGACCTTCTTAAAGTTTTCAATCGTTAACATCGTTTTAATAAACAACACGTATTTATTTTATAAAAATTAGCTGTTTTTCAGCCAAATATAGGACTTAATGACAAAATAAATGCAGCAGATTTTGAAAATTATAAAATATTATTGATATAAAAAAAATATAAAATAATATCAATGATTTCATGTGTCCCTAAAGTATAGAAAAAATTCATTATTTATTAAAGTATAAATACTTTCAAAGATACCTACCTGAAACAGGTCTATTTCTAATACCAATTCTTTAAAATTTATACAAAAGATTATTCTACAGGGTGATGCACACTAATGTAATGAAATCGAAAATATTTTTAAATGTAATAGAATAGAATAGAAATATGCTTTATTGTCACTGAAAATTATTGAACATTTTTATGGACAAAGCTAAAAAAAATCAGTAAAAAAGTACAAAAAGTATAAAACAAAAACAAATATAATAAAAAAACAGAACAATACAATTTTAAATTAGTAAAATTATTGTATAACTTATATAATTTGTACAGACAACAAATGAAACAAATTGTAGCCACTGCTTGAGACACCCAAATGTAATTATAAACAATACTAATTTTGTTTCTTTGTTATACATTAAGAAACATTAATATGTACCTTGTAATTGAGAAATTTTTAAATCGTCGTTAACGAACTGATTTGTATGAAGTACGATACTTGGAGGTTTATTGTGCAGTTTCTACCCATCAGCCAATATATTTTTTTATAAAAAATTCCTAGCTACTGCGTTTTTTCGGAAGACGAATTTTCGAGTGAAACCGAGCACTTAACGTTATGTCCAAATATTTTGCACCATACGCATATGGCTCTTTAACATCATCATACCTATATGTATGTATCTAATGACCAATTTACCAATCACATTAAATGAAGTGGAAAAAAGCAATATCACAACTAAAAGATGGTAAATCTTCTGGACCTGACGATGCATGTGCTGAACTCATACAACTATTTAA